CTCATAGGTAACCATTTTCAAATATTTGGAAAAACCAAGTCTTAAAAGACCAATCATGTTATCTTCTTCTTGTTGTTTTAAATCATTTTATTGGGGGCTCGTGTCAAACACATTTGTACATTTATTGCCATCATCATTTTCAAAACATTTTCTTTCTTCTACTTGAACCCTTGGTATCAGTTCCTCATTTTGTTCCCTCCCTTCCTCTCCCACACTCCCTCCCTCAAGAACCCTTGATAATTTGTAAATTATTATTATTATTTCATGTCTTACAATGACTGATGTGTCCCTTCACCCACTTTTCTGTTGTACATCCTCTTGAGAGGGGGTTATATGTAGATTATTGTGATCGGTTCCCCCTTTCATCTCCTACCTTCCCCTTCCCCTCCTGGTATTGCTTCTCTCAATATCGGTCTTGAGGGGTTTATCTGTCCTGGATTCCCTGTGTTTCCAGCTCTTATCTGTATGAGAAATCATGTTTTTTTCCACCCTTCCCCGCAATCGTGTTTTTAAGGATATACTGAGTCACAAAAGTTACAGAAGATCTGCCTTGGTGCAAGTCAAGAAAGCAAACAGCTGAATCTTCTATAGAGCAATATAGGCAGTCCGGCCACAGGCAGCAAACAGCAGGACAGGTCACCAACAGTCAGCCAGATGACAGGGTCCAACAATCCCCAGCTCAGGTGATGTATACACCAGCAGTGTGGCAAGGCAGATCTTGAAGGAACCTCAAACTATAATGACACGGTCCTCAGGTTGAGTGTCCCACAGGTAGTGTAGCTCACAAGTTGAGGCAGAGAACTAGCTAAGGCAGCCACATACTAGTTCGATCATCAGAGAGCAAGGGACAGAAAGTGAGGTTCACCAAGCCATTTATCTCTTTGCCCTTCAATTAAACTGCAACCTTATTAATCTCACATGTGTCTATTAACCAGGTTAGCACAATAAACCTACCTATCACAAAGTCCTCCAAGGATCAGTCTCTCCTAATATAGCAAGTTCAAAGCACAAGTTTTCCCATCCTTGCTCCTAAGGAGCATTCTGGCTTCTTCCAAGACAGATTTGTTTGTTCTTAGAGCAGTCCATGGTATATTCAATGTTCGTCTCCAACATTGTAATTCAAAAGCATCAGTTCTGCTTTGATCTTATTCATTATCCAACTTTCACATGCAGATAAGGTGATTGAAAATACCTTGCCTTGGGTCAGGTGCACCTTAGTCTTTAAAGTGACATTTTTGCTTTTTGACACTTTCAATAGGTCTTTTGCAGCGGATTTACCCAGTGCAATGATTTCTTGGCTGCTGCCTCCATTGGTGTTGCTTGTGGATCCCCTTAAAATTAAATCCATGACACGTCCCCAGCCCCAGCCAGTCCTGGGGCTTTGGGGCTCGGCTCAAGGGGAGTCCCTCTGGGACATGGGGGTACAGTGAATGGTGTGACCCTTTGCTGGGCATGCCTACACAGTAGGGGACGCTGGACCCCTTTGGGGTTTCTCATATGGGCTCCAATAAATTTCTTCCCATTTTCCTCAAAAAAAAAAATTAAATCCATGACAACTTCATTCTTTTCTCCCTTTATTATGATGTTGATTATTGGTTCAGTTGTGAGGATTTTTGTTTTCTTTACATTGAGATGTGATCCAAATGGCAGGCTGTTTTCTGGACTTCCACTTGAAGCATAATGGAAATGCTTCTTCACTTTCAGCAAGCAAGGGTGTGTCATCTGCATCATTAATGACCTTTCTCCAATCTTGATAACACATTCTCTATATAGTCCAGCTTCTCAGATTATTTACTTAAAATTCAGATTGAATAAGTGTGATGAAAGGATACAACCTTAACACACACCATCCCTGATTTAAAAAAATTTTTTTTACCATTCCTGATTTAAAAAAATTTTTTTTACCATTCCTGATTTTTTTAAGGTAGTATTCCCTTGTTCTATTTGACATATTGCCTGGTATTATCATCATTTGTGAGATAAAGGTGATGAGACACAGGGAGGGAGATTCAATAACTTGTCCAGACACATAGATTTAGGAAGGGAGAGCTGGGGCTCAAACTCTGATTTTTCTGATCCTAAAAGTCATTCCCTCAGTCATTGTTTACCAATTTTAAGGAACCCATGAATTCCCTAAAGCCTGCTTATTGCCACTCAAGTTAAGAACCCCTTAACTCCTTGACAATGAAGAGTATATTAAGTAAGTGAATCTTGCTGCTTATGTAAGACTTTTCATTAAAACAAATATTTGTTGAACAGCCACTATTTTGAATATTTGTTAGATTCTATGAAATGTTCCTTATCCTTAAGGAGTTTACTATCTACATGGGGAGACAATAATTATATCAATAGAGCAATGAGAAAAACATACAAATGTGAAGTTGAATATATAGTAATTAGACATTTCCATGAACTATGCATGAAAATGTATTTCTTTACTCTGTTATGCCATTCATTGATTCCCTGATTTATATGAGGGAAAATCAATCCAAAGGCTACTATATCCTTTGGGAACCTAGTAGATTCAATGTGTCATAAAAATGAAATCTGTAAAGTGAGACTCAGAAAACTGAATATGCATCCCATTCTGATTCCTGAGTGGTTTTGTGAGCATCGGCTATTAACCCCAGGGAGCATGCCCAATAATGAGATTCAAGAATGTGTAGCCAGCTCCCAAGCATTCAAAACTGTATATCACAGGGTAATTCTCTTGAGTTGGACATGCATAGGGCCGCAGAACACTTTGAAAGCTGCTGCATTTTTACTGAAACAGAGTTCTACCACAAAGAGGACCTAATAAGTAAATATACATGGACAAATGTCAATCATCATTTATATTGTCAAATGATACTGTATGATCTGAGTTATGCAGGATCAATAGCAATAACATACCAATTTTGGATGAGCCCATCAGACATGGGAAGCTTATTTAAATTGACCACCTGACAGTCCAGGTTGTCTAAGAAGAGTAACTGTCGCTATAATTCAGAGAAATAGTTTTGGTAGAAACTCATATATTTGGTTGTCACAGAAAATGTTTATTATAAGACTAAGAATAGATTATATCAAGCTTTTTATTAAAATAGTCATCATAAGATACTTGCACAATTTTTATTGTATTATCTTAAAACTTTAATCACCTGGGCTTTAGGATTAATTTTAAATGGCATTTGAATTTTCTTCTCAAAGCAAATACAAACTTTATTGCTATTACTCATGTACCTATATGTGCATATAAATTATATCTTTATGTAATTTATATATAAACATTCCATTTATTATAGACATTTCCTTTTTTTTTTGTCTGCTGCCACCCCTAGACATTTTATTAGAAATGTCCAAAATCATATTTTGTACACAGGATTCATATGTTTGTCATATTTTACTATTTTAAAAAAATTGCACTATATGATTTTCTCATAATCCCTATAATCTAAATTTTAGTGTTATTTCAAGTGTTGCAAGGACTTTTTGAAAATCTTTTATGTCTAAGAAGCTCATGGTGGAAAATATTTTTAAGCAACAGATATCCCTGTCATTATCTTTAGTAACTGTTCACAGATCATCATTGGGAGCTATTCAACTAGTAGTTGTGGGAAGTAATTTTCCAGCTATATATGCATATATAGTGATGGGTTTTATTTAATTTCATGTGAATACGTAATATGATACTAACCCTTAAATTAAATCCTGGAGCAAATATAGTTGAAAGGAAAGCATTCCTTTTTTATATTTGCTTTGCACAGAGAGACACTTGAGTTGTTCTTCAAGTAAATCGCAGACTGATGCTAAGTGTCCATAAGTTTTCCTTCATAGAGAGAACTGAAGACATGGTAGCTGTCGAGCATGAATTTGCCTGTTCGGGCGCGCACGTGTGTGCGTGCGTGTGTGTGTGTGTGT